CCCCCTGGTCGAACTCCGGTTGAACTCCAGGTCGAGGGAACAATTTGCATATTAGCCTTTTATTACATAGGATAATGATATATCTATAATCTATATATATAAAAGCCAAGCGACCGGAACAATGGACTGACCAGGATGACTGGTTGCTATGACGTGCACTGTGGCAGCCAACTGGCCCAATTGGCTCCCCCCAACCCCGATCAGGGGCGGGGCCAGCAGCCAACCTCCCGTGTCCCCTCCTCCCTGCTGGTCCTGGCCGGCCGGACCCCACCCATGCACAAATTCGTGCACCGGGCCTCTATGTATATATATATATATGTATATATACATATATATACACACACAATGTAGTATATATAATGTTTTCTGAATAATTTGGGGAAGTAATTTGGAGTCTTTACAACCTTTACTCTTAAATACAGTACTTCAGTGAGATTTCCAAAGAACAAGGACATTCTCTCACAGACCCACAGTTTAATGATCAAAATTGGAAATGTCATACTGATAAGCTCGATCATCTAATCCACCATCCAGATTCCAAGACTTTTCATTGTTCCAATCGTGTCCTTTATAGCTGCTCCCATGGAAGTCAGTGATATTCACAACCCTTTCATGCTTTCCTTCTCCTGACCCAGACTGGTTTAGCACTGAGTCTGGGCCAGGTGGGATCAAATGAGGATGATTTTTCTCTCCAATTATTGCCTCCCCTGCTCTCTGTCAAATCTCCCTTCTCTGCCCTGAGGAGCACGTTCTGTAACTTGACTGATTACTGTCAGTGAAAGAGTCTTGCCCTGTCCTGTCCTGTCCTGTTAACAGTTTCCATCTCAGAGGTTTCTTCATCCCCTTGCTGATTCATGATGTTACCGGGAAAACTCGGGGCAACTCCCCGCTCTGCCTAATCCCTTCTGCCTCACTTTGCACACGTGCCCAGTGTGTTCTGTTTCTGTCCATCCCTCTGTCGCTTGGCTGAGGCTGGGCTCGGGAGAGGGTCTCTGAGTGCACCAGCAGGTGTGAGCTCTGACCACCCACATAGCTGCTCTCTGGATCCAGAAAGGCAGGCATGGAGAGCACAGATTCCTCAGGCAGATATGGGTTGGGGGAGGAAACTCAGCTATCTCCTTGTGATGCTGCCTGCCTGTTGTCATGGAAACCCAAGCCACTCTCTTTTGAAGGACCCATTAAGGTGCAGGATATAATCAGCACCCTCTCTGGCAGACCCCCACCCTCCCTGGACAATGCAGCATCTTAGTTCTGCCCTCGCCACCCCTCTCCAGCCCTGGCTGGGGATGACTCGCTATGTGACCACAAGTCTCCTCTCCTGTCCGCATCTTGGCCTCCTCCCCTGTGGAAACGACTGAAGGACATGTCGCAATTGCCACATTGTCTGTGCGTATCAAACTATGAGAGGGGTGTAGGATAGTGGTTGAAATGCAGACACTGTATGCAAACTGCCAACAGTCAAGTCCTGGCTCTGCCACCCACGAGCTGTGCAACCTTGAGCAACTTGCTTCAGCTCTCTGAGCCTTGGTTTCCTCTCCTATAAAATGGGGAATGATCGTGGTACCTACCTCATAGGAGCTAATATATCTACAGCTGTTAAAATAGTATCTGGGTTTTTTAAAACCCTAATATATCCATCTGATGTACTATGATTCAGCTATACAAAAGGAATGAACCATGGACACATGCCATGGCATGGACGAACCTTGAAAACATGCTGCTCCGCGAAGGAAACCAGACACCAAAGGCCACACAGTGTGGTTTCATTGATATGAAATGCCCAGAACAGGCAAACCCACAGAGACAGAAAACACATTAATGTTGCCAGGGGCTGCAGGAAGAGGGGCGTGGGGAGTGACTGCTTAACAGGATCTGTGTTTTTTGGGGGGCGATGGAATGTTCTGGAATTAATCACCTCGTGGTGATGGTTGTAGGACTATGTGAAGTATGAAATGTCACGAAATTGTCACTTTAAAGAGGTTACATGCAAATTTTATGCTCTGTGTATTTGCAAGGTTTAAATATTGTTTTGATGGAGGGACACAACACAATGACACTCAGATAGAAGAAAGGCAGAATCCTTTGTTACTTGGAGCTCCAAAGAAGAGGACACAGGCTTACAGCAGGGAGAGGGTGACAGTAACTGGAGAAGCCGGTGGGGTGAGCCAGGTTTCCCGGGCTTCCTGAAACTGGTTCATTTGAATAATTTTCTGAACTCCATGACAGTAGGCCTGCCCCTAGTTGCCTGGTTCCTAGCTCTTGGACAATTAAAGGAGGTGTCTAGTGGCCCTTGAGTATGAGAGCTGATAAGGGAAGTAGTCCAGGTGTGGACTTAATCAACTGCTCAAGAGGACCGATCGGCCTCCGAAATGGGCCCCTCCCTCTCTCCTTTCTTTCCTTCGTTCTGTGGAAGTAGGTATTCATTTCTCATCTGTGTAAGTCTAGGCATAGAATTGCTGAGTCAAAGGGAAGAAAATAAACGTCCCTTTTGCTGAAGCCACTGTTACTTTGAGTCTGTTAGAGTAATTGGACCATATCCCCATACATTGGCAATCCCTGCTTCTTTGCCTCACTCTCTGGTACCTTTGCTCCTGGAATCACCGTCTTGTCTGAGACTCCACTTTCATGAAATCCCAAATGAAGATCATTGGATAGTGACCAGATGTGATAAGAAAGTTGAGTGGGTTGTCCCTTCAGTTCAGATGCCCTCAGCTCCATTGCAAATGCTGGCTCATCTTTATAGGTGTGTGTGGCCTTCATATTTGTGTCTGACAAAGGGGCTCAGACCCAGCATTTATCTCCACTGAATACTTACCACGTGCTCACACTGATCTGGGCATGGACGGGAGAAGTCTGAAACTGGTGAGATTAAATGAGGTGCCCCCTCCCAGAGGTCTTTGGGAAAAATGAAAGGTAGGTGGGTTTTACATACCTTTATTTTTATTTTTTACTAGAGGCCTGGTGCACGAATTCATGCACAGGTGGCGGCCCTCAGGGTGGCCTGTGGGGATTGGACCCCAGCTCGCACCCCCAGGCTCACAGCCCCTGCTCGTGTCCCCAGCCTCGCAGCCCCACAGCCCCCACCTGGCACCCCGCTGTGGCCTGGCGCCACCCCCTCACCTGCTCCACCATTGCGCTGCTGTCCAGCTCTTGTTGGGGCCCATCAGGGCCAGCAGCACCTCCACTACCACCTGCTGCCAGCCCTGCATCGCAGACGCCCACCGTGTTCTGTGCTGCCTCTGGTGGTCAGCTCACGTCATAGCGAGTGGTCAAACTCCCGGTCAAACAATTTGTATATTAGGCTTTTATTATATAAGATTGATTTCAGAGAGGAAGGGTGAGGGACAGAGAGATAGAAACATCAATGATGAGAGAGAACCATTGATTGGCTGCCTCCTGCATGCCCCACACTGGGGACCAGGCTCACAACCGGAGCATGTGCCCTGACCAGGAGTCGAACCATGACCTCCTGATTCATAGGTCGATGCTCAACCACTGAGCAACACCAGCTGGGCCGTTTTGTTTTTTAAATCAAAGGAAGGATTCCCCTAAATAAGAAGAATCAGTGGGGCCGTGGCCGGTGTGGGTCAGTGGTTAGAGTGTTGGCCTGCACACCAGAGGATTTCGGGTTTGATTCCTGGTCAAGGGTACGTACCTGGGTTGCAGGTTCACTCCCCGCCTCCAGTGGGGGTGCATACGGGAGTCAATATGTATGTCTCACATCCATCTTTCTCTCTCTCTCTCTCTCTCTCTCTCTCTCTGTTTCTCTCTCTTTCCTTCCTTCCCTCCCTTCCACTCTCTCTGAAGAGCAATGGAAAAAAATATCCTCAGGTGAGAATTAACAACAACAGAGCAGAATCAGTGGGGAAGCTCATCAAAATGCAGATGCTGGGGGCCGCCCCACCTCTGGCTTATTGAAGTTGGCAGGGTCCTAGGAATCTGCATTCTCTGGGCGCTTCCTAGAGGAATCCAAGATGCTCCTGGCTGGGCCCGTTGATAAGGGCAGCTGGTGGGGAAATGACAGGCGATGCTCTCAGCAGGATGAGCCAGGCTGTGTTTTGAAATTTGAATTTCATCCGTCAGTCAATGGGAGTCTTGGAAGGGTTAAAGGCAAAGGTGGGACTTGGTCAGATTTGTGTTCTAGAACAACCCCTCACTGTATGTGGAGAATAAATGGACGGTTGTGTGTGTTTGGGGGAGGGGAGGGACAACCAGGCAGTGATGGCGGCAGAGGGCTGGGGAAGAGGCTGGATTTGCCCAGAATGACTTGCCTTGGCAAATACCGGGTTAGGGAAATGGATGAGGGGGGGAGGGACCCTGGGATGTGGAGAGGCTGCCACACTGATGGGGACACGGAAGGAGGGGAGGTGGGGGCTGGGTGGACTGGGTGTTCAGTGTGAAATGGTTAATGTGGAGTGGCTGTGAGGGACCCAGGGGGAGACATTTGTAGAAATCCCAGGGCAGAATCTCCTCTTTCCTAGGGGTCCCTAAAAGGCAGTATCCGGGTGCCTTTTTAAAAAATCTAAAAGCTCTTCCATTCCCAAAGGGAGATCTATATACAACACAAAAACTCTCACAATTAGCCTTGATCCAGACATTGAACCCCTCTCCCCACCCCATCCTCAAAGTGCCTCTGGCATGTAGGTGTCTTGCAATCATATTTTCTCTGCTTGTTAATGAACTCACTGAGGCAGTACTCCTGGAGAGAGAAAGATTTCATTTGTCTGGGGCTGAGAAGGGAGACGGGGGTTGCCAGAGCTAATGAGGAATCAATGCCTCATAACTGCTAATTAAATGAGCTTGGCTCTCTCCTGGGGCTATTAGCTGGCTGGCTGGCCCTTGAGTGTCCACAAATTTAATTATGCTCCCCAATAAACACCCGCAGCACCCACTACCCTCTGGTATCTCTGTGGGGGAAACCAAAGAGAAGCAGGATCTTCATGTGTGTGCTGAAACCATCAGTTCATTGATTAATATACTGATTTATTCTGATGCCTTTATTGATTCAACCAATGTTTATTGAGCGCCTGCTGTGTGCCAGGCCCTGGTTAGGTGCTGGGGCCACGGCAGTGAAAAACACAAACGCAGTCTCTGCCCTCATGGAGCTCACAGTGTAATGGGGGTGACACAGTCCTGTGAACAGTTAACAATAATCGGAGTAAGTGCTGGAGAGAAGACATCCCAGGTCTATGAGAGTGTATAACACAGACTTGATGAGGTGGGTGGTGAGGCAGCAAGGAAAGTTTCCCTTGGTGAAATGAGGCTGGGATAAGAAGGGAGAGGGAGCCCGTAGGGTGCTCTGGGAGGCAGAGCATTCCAAGATGAGGGAGCAGCAAAGACCAAGGCTCTGAGGCTGGAATGACTTCAATGTGGTGTCCTCGACTTGATTAGGATGTCGCAGAGAACTGGGGGTGACCCCTCGCTGATGCCACAACTCACCTACCGGGCACAAGTTTACACCTGTCCTGTAGTTGGTCCATGGAACTGATGGTGAGGTGTGGGAGAAAAATAAATGATTCCTGGAATTTTTATTGACAGATCTTAGTAGAATCCTGGTCTAGAAAGAACTTCAAACACCACCCCCTCGTTGATTCCCAAGGCCCTGGGTTCAGTCAGATATTTTGTATTTTCAGGCCTGTGGGGGGGCATATGAGTGACATGGCCAACACCATGCATGGCACATTGCTATGTGATCATGGGGTGCATGCCCCTATTTTACTCCCTCCCTTGCTCTTGTCCCATGGGATTAGCCAGCTCGATCCCCTGGGTGGAAGTGATTCCTTCCTGGCCTCCCCCGCCCCACAGTTACTTGTCCATGTCAGGCGGAGGTTGATGGGAGTCCGCGCTATGAGGAAGCTGTGACTTGTTGTCATAGTACACCAGAACAACAAAATCACTAGTCTTCCACACAGCACTAGACCACAACTGCTCCAGTCTTCTTGGCCACCCTTTGCCCTGTGTCTGCGACCTCCCAACCCAGCTCTTTTCCTTCACCTGAGCCAAGTTGTAGCATATGGGCTTCTTGCTTCTCCACCACCTCCTGTCTTCCATTCCTGGTCCTCCTGGGGAGAGGAAGGAGCTGATCTCCAAGGGCCCAACTCCCACCCATGAAGCATGGAATTTGGAGTTGGCAGGATGTGGGGTTGACTTGCAGATTCACCCTTGGCCTGAGACCCCTTGACCTGTCCCTCTCCGGGTCTCAGTGTCCTCAACGGTCACCTGGATGTAATAACTCCCATGTCCTGAAGTTGAAGATGGCATGACATAATGTATGTAAAATGACTAACCCAATGTTTCTCAAAGAAGTCTAGAAAGAGCACAATAATGTCATGTTGGCAGGCACCCATTCCCCCACAGCCCTACAGCTTGATCATCGTACCTGTTGGGCATTACAGACTTCTGTGTGCCGTGTCATCTCATCTGGAAAACAATGCATTGAAAAATCTATTAAATGAGGGGGGGCAAGTCTCCAGAAGCGTCAGACACCCCAGACCGTCCTCTGTTCCCCCATCAAGCTGCAGGGCTCTCGGTCACCTGGGGAGCCGTCCGTGCCCTGCGGCTGCAATGAAGCCGGCCGGGACCTGCTGGGAGCTGTCCAGACGCGTGTGCTGAAGCAGGTCGCGGTTCCCTCCCTGGACCCCGAGAGGCGCTGTCCGGAGTCTCCGTGCTGAAATAAATAGCAGTTTTCTCCCGTGGTCCTCGCAGAGCTGTCTTCAGCCTCGGGGCTGAAGAAAACTTAACTTTCCTCTCTTCCCGGCTCAACCCACTCCCCCGCCTTCTCCGTTCCTCTGACTTTGGGGAAGCCGCCTTCCAAAAATCTCTTTCCTCTCCGCTCCTCTTCCCCGGGCGCTTCCGAATGGCAAGGGGGGCACTTGGAGGGGTTGCAACTAGGACTCATCCCGGCTCCTTACCTCGTGGCACGTCCCCAGGACTTACCTCCCAGGTAGTCAGCCCCGCTGGTCTCTGCTTTCCAGACCGTCAAACTTCGCCGTCTTTGTCGCTTTCTGGGCAGATGTCCATGCGCTGACCTGCAAACCAGCCCCATCCCCGAGGTGCCGGGTCCCCCAAGCCACCCCTCTTTCCACGCAGCTTGAAGTCCTTCCCTTGCGCGTCTCACCTGCTTCCAGTCTTGTGGGCAGATGCAGGTGTCCAGTGGCTGCCGAGGCGGGGACTGCGCTTTTATGGGCTTTGGGGAAGGCGGGGCACCGGGAACCCAGGGCGGGGCTTGGCCAGCCGGCCAATGAGACTCCGCCTCGAATGCAGCTCCAAAGATTACCTCATAGGTTGTGGCCTCAGCTTCAGAATAAAAGACTGGCATCTGCCCAAAATCTAGGTTGGGCTTTTCTGGAGGGGGAGGGGCCACTCACTGTAGTCCCCAGGATCTCCCCACTCGGCCCAACCCCCTCCTGGGTCTCTGAGCTCCCCACCAGTTTAGCAGCTCTGGCTCGGTCAGTGCTTGCTTCTCCAGCGTGTGCTATTGCTCGATCAGGAGAGATAAAGCTGGTAAATTGTGTTGGGGGCGAGGGGGGGGATGGGGCAGGTGCAGAATATTTAAGTCTAGTTTCAGATGGAGAAACTGAGGTCTGTGTGAATGTAGGGCTCAGAGGAGCCTGGAGCAGAGGTGGGACTCAAGCCGAGACCTTCTGATTCCTCGACTCAAAACCCAACTCATAACTTAGTTCATTGTTTCACTTTACTGAGTAGGCTCTGAGCCGAAAAACACACAAACTTGGGTTCAAGTACAGATTTTTCTCCTCCTTGCTGTGGGACTTGGGGCGCAGTTGAACCTCTCTGTGCTTCAGTCCCCTCAACTGTAAAATGGTGATGATTGTAGTATCTTCTCAGAGCATTGTGATGAGGCGTTAACGCTCTGGTGTGGATTGCATGTTGGAAATAAATAATCAGGGCTAGGACTAAGGTGAGGGAGGCACTTGCCTCAGGTACAAAATTTAAGGGGGCACAAAAAAAACCCTCAGTAATAAAAATAAATCATATTTCAATGCAATGTTTTTTAAAAATCAAAATTAATGAAAAATCCACAATAAGCAAAATATCATTTTAAATAAAGACAGGATCTGCATTCCTGATTTTTTCCTTTTGCCTCAGACTCCAATGCAGCTTGGCATGACATTAGAAAAAATGTCTGGATTGTTAAGGGCAGGAAAAAAAGGAGACATATGTAATACTCTTTGTAATACTTAAGCAATAAAACAATAAAAAAATGTCTGGACCTGGTAATTTTCCCAATAATGTAGCTATTGTTATTTCCTGAGATGGTCCATCCATTTAGTCAAAACACCTTTACTGTGTTAGGCACGGCATTGGGGGGGGGCACATTCATGAATTCAGCAACTAACCTTCCTTTAGGGAGGGTGAAGACATGAAAAAGCAACTCTTCTCAAATTTAGCATGCATGAAAATAAAGGAATTTGTGTTGTAGCTTGTGCTCTTCCCAGTATGAAAGTCCCCTAAAAGAGCTGCTTATTTTGTGGAATTTGAGCTCACAAATGAGTGACCTGCAGATCACCCATGGATCCAGGAACGTCAGATAAGGTTTGCCAACAAAGATACCCACACCAAGGCTTAACTCCATGGATGCACTGGGGAAAAGTTCGGCCAAACCCATGGGGAGTGGATGCAGAAGCTGCTTGGCATTCTGACACATAGTAGGTACTCAACAAATTCACTGTCAAGTGCAATACTCATCTGAAACACTCTAACTTCTGCATTATGTCTCCACTCAGAGGCTCGTTCTGGCTTCACAGTTCCCAAAGAGGAGCAAGGAACTCGCTACCAAAGGAAGAAGAAGAAATGGGAATGTAGCCTAGAAATGGCTGCTTTATTTATATGCTCCCTTCCTTTTTCCTTTTCACCTTTTTATTTTGGAGGGAAAAATTCAAACCCACAGGAAAGTTGCAAGATAGTGCAATGCACTTCTGAACATAATCATCTTTACCTGGATTCACCCACCCATTGTTCACATTCTGCCACATTCACTTGATCTTTGTCGTTTTCTCTACATATATCTTTGTCTCTGTTCCAACCATGTAAGTGGCAGACACAGTGGCCCCTTCATTCCTAAATACTCAGCGTGCTTCCCCCACGGTCAAGGACGGTTTCCTATATAACCATAATGTGGTCATCACAACCACAAAGTTAAAATTGTGACAATACTATTGTCTAATCTCTAGCCCACGTTCCAGTTTCACCAATTGCCTCAATACTGTCCTGTATGACATTCATTTCCAAGTTGGGATCCAGTTCAGGATTGTGCAATGATTTCATTGTCCTGCGTTTCCCATCTCTTTTGCAGAGAGGCGAGCTTTGTGGTAGCTCTATCTTGTTAGACCCCAGGGTTCTCCTCTCAGCTCAGAGATCTGACTCGCTCACTGCCTTCAACGGGAGTGTGCACTACACACCGTGCCTGCACCCCTTTCATACAGCACCATTTTATTTAGAGGATTTTTAAAGTCACTTCCTCCTTCCACATTCTAGAAGGACATGGCCAGAAATACACACCTCAAACCTACTGTATGCATTCACTTCACAATGAAAATATTTGTGCTGGGGATTCAGCAGGGAACAAAGCCGATCTCATTTTTGTATTCCATTTAGTGTAGAAGACAGACAATAAACAAATATATAAAGGAACAAAATAACCTCACACAATAATGACAGCTAGAAGAAACAGACTGGGGTGATAGAGCAGGAGTCTGCTAACTTTTCTGTAAAGGGCCAGAAAGTAAATATTTTCTGCTTTGCAGGCCAGCTGGTTTCTCTCCTGGCTACTCTGGTCTGTTGTTGTAGCTCAAAGGCAGCCTTGGAGAATATATATGGGTGTGACTGTGTTCCAATAAAACTTTATTTACAAAAATAGTGGCAGCTTGCCTGGCTGATGTTGCTTAGTGGTTAGAGCATCCACCCTTGCACTGAAGGGTTGCTGGTTTAATTCCTGGTTAAGGGCAAGTAGCAGGGTTGCAGGTTGGATCCCTGCCCCATGGGGTGTGTGTGGGAGGCAACTAATCAATGTGTCTCTCTTACATTGGTGGTTTTTTTTTTCCTCTCTCTCTCCCCCTACCTCCCTTCCTTCAACTCTCTCTAAAAATAAATGGAAAAAATATCCTGGGGTGAGGATTAACAACAACAAAACAATAGTGGTAGCTCATTTGGCCCAAGGGCCATATTTTCTAGTCCCTGCCTAGTATGTGACTGGCTGGTGTAAGACACGTAGCTTTAGGCTGGATGGTTGGGGAAGGGCTCTCTGGGGTGGACACATTTGAGCTGAGACCTGAAAGGTGAGAAGAAGACAACCATGGGAAAATGTAAAGGACAAATATCAGGCTGAACAGTGAGTTGGTTGGGTTACTGTTTGTAGGAACAGTTAGTTCCTAGAAACTGTGTGTGTGTGTGTGTGTGTGTGTGTGTGTGTGTGTGTGTGTGTGTGACAGGCCCTGAAGTGTGTCTTGGAGGGGACTTGCAGGAGTTATACTCAGAAAGAGGTGGCCAGGGTTTGGTCACCCAGGCCAGGAGCAGATCATATAGGAAAACCTTTCCCCCTTCCTTTCCCTCCCTCCTTGAGCTTTTACTTTGTGTTGGGCTTGGTGCCAAACACTTCACGTGCCAAGTATTCCGAAGACTTCAGGACAACCCCATGCGATTGCTATCATTGTTGTCCCCATTTTGCAGATGAGGAAACTGAGGATCTAAGGAACTAGTCCAAGGCCACCTGGAAAGCAAGAGGCAGAGCTGGGATTTAAACACAGCTCATGCTTGGCTGGCGTGGTTCAGTGGTTGAGCGTGGACCTATGAACCAGGAGGTCACGGTTCTATTCCCGGTCGGGGCACGTGCCTAAGTTGCGGCTGGATCCCCCGGTGTGGGTTGTGCAAGAGGCAGCTGATAGGTGATTCTCTCTCATCACTGATGTTTCTATCTCTCTTCGATCCCCCGGTGTGGATTGTGCAGGAGGCAGCTGATTGGTGACTCTCTCTCATCACTGATGTTTCTATCTCTCTCCCTCTCCCTTCCTCTCTGAAATCAATAAAAATTAAAAATAAATAAATGAACACAGCCCTGTCTCTTGGCTCCAAAGCCCATGCTCCTCAGCACTCTCCCACCAACATTGCCTCCACTTGTTGTCTCCTTCAGACCTTCTGGAGAGCAGAGAAAGCCTTTACACCCGGGATTCTGAGATCTTTCCATCCTAAGCTGCAGAGAGGATGTGAAACGCCCTGTTTTACAGATGTGGCAGAGGCAAACCCCTTCCCCCATAGACCACAATAATTGGGGGCTGGAGCTGGGATGGGGTCCCCCGTCTGCTGACTCCAAGATCTAAATTCTTGTCAACTGTCCACTCCTTTCCCTGTCCTCTTCTAGAGCCCTCATACATATATAACCTTACCCATTAGTCTCCTCGCACACAATTATTTATTCATTTACTTTTTAAAGAATTTCGTTTTAAAGCCAGGTATATGGAGGTATAATTTCTATACAGTAACATTCATGTTTTTAGGTGCACAGTCCTGTAAATTTTGACAATTGCAGTTATGTAGCCAACACCATAGTCAAGAAACAGAACAGTTCCCTCACCCCCAAAACCTTCTCTCCTGCCCCCTGTGTAGGCTATCCCCACCCCGATCGCTACTCCCTGGAAACTGCTGATCTGATCTCCATCGTTACAGTTTTGCCTTTTCCGGGACATCATTTAAATGGGATCACATGGTGTGCAGCTTTCGGTGTCAGGCTTCTTTCGTCTTCATAATGCATTGGCGATCCATCCATGTTGTTGTGTGTCGGGAAGTAGCGTTCCATTGTGTGGGTGGAGTAGGGCTTGTTCAGTCACTGGTGCAGGGACCCTGGGTTCAAGGACATTTCTAGGTTGGGGGTTATGAATAAAGCTGCTAGAAATGTTCACGCACAGGTGTTTGTGTGGACAATATGTTTTCATTTCTCTCTGGAAATACCTAGGAGTGGGATGTCTGGGCCATATGGTCAGGGTATTTTTTACTTTTAAGAAGCTGCCCTTGCCCTAACTGGTTTGGCTCAGTGGATAGAGCGTCGGCCTGCGGACTGAAGGGTCCCGAGTTCGACTCTGGTCAAGGGCACATCCCCAGTAGGGGGTGT